ATACTAACTGTGGGGTCTTCGTCAAGATTTTCCAACGCACTGCATCTTCAACATTAAGGTTCACTTGCTGACCACATCCTTCTCCTCGAGGAATAACACTTCCCGTATCTCGCAGCCGCTGTACGATTGTGGGGGAGGGTGACGTTGTGTCCATCGTTCCCGGTACAACCTACTCGCCGCGGGCGCATTTTCTTCGGCTGCACCATATACACTAACATCATATCGACACGTTCGGAAATAGTAAATGCATTGTTTTCTCGGTTCATTGTAAAACTAGGTTGTGTACAAACTAAAAAATAAAATAAAGTAAGAAATAAGAATCTCGTTTTTAATGTAATCGGCAAGCTATTCTTGTTTTTTACTTCTTTATAAAAATTACACTATCACTATCCAGGAATTACAAAATAAAAACTTTTGTCTGGAATTTTTAACTTTTTAACACTGATGGGTCGATGGACGATGCTTAATATTTAATAATTAAGTGAATAATGAATTCAATACAAATACAAAATCAGTTGACTGCACAAATTTTTTGACAATGTAACCTAACATTCTTTTAGTATTACTTGTATTAGATTATACCGACTTAAATTATAAGGTTGCATCTCGGGTCGTGCATTTATAATAAATGAACTTTAATTTACAAAAAAAAAAAAATCGCGAAGATAGAACTTTTTCATAGAAGAGTTTTCTATTACAAATATCATCAGGAAGCTGTAGTTTAATTTTTATAGATCATAGACGCCACACCCTGTATTGTAAACCATGCTAAAAAGTCAACAATAAAGCATAAAATTAGAAAATTCCATTTTTGATTTATATTCAAATTGTACTCAGCTCTTAAGCTACCATAGAAAACAGCTCTAAAGCTGCCATACACACCCTCCAAGGAGGCGCTGTGCAAAAAGCTCATTTAAAACCCAGTGCATAACAATCTAAAATCAGTTGAAACCCTCCAAAACCAACTATATGGAAAAACAGCTTCTTTGGACCCAAATGTGGAACAACATACCGAAGGATGATAAGATGGGCAAATTCAAGGAACTAATCGGGATTCCTAGAATTAGCACTTTCATAACGGTACTATCGAGGCGTATATCATAACAATATTTTTGTGTAAATGGGCCTTTATTAATAAAAAGGTAAAAAGAGAAGTGCTTTAACGTTAAAAAACCATACCCAATACGTATATGAACAAAGCCTCTATATCCTTCCCCTCTGACCTGAATCGCCCTGTATGCGAGGTATTAATGAACTCAAGATTTCTACATGTGCAATGCCGATTAACACTTTCCATCTTTTAATGTTGCAATGAAGCCGCCACGGAACATGAACACCCACTAATGAGAATTTCATATTTGACGTTGTCTCGCTATAATTGACCGTAATAACGCATTCTCGTAGAATTTCAAGCAATCCAGAAACTACTCATTTACTTAGTAGGTGTTACCGTTATAGTTATATTTATCAATCCACTAGGAGTTTCTTTTTTCATACTAGAATGTTTAAATAACCAGTTTTAGATATTGGCTTTGAGATGTTACAAATGTTGGTCTTAATTAAATACCAAGCACAAATAAAAGGGATATTTAAACAAGACATAAAAGAATAAAACGCAAACATATAAAATTCCAAAAATTAAACAGAATGTTTAATAAAAAAAGACTTAAATTCAAATAACGAAGCCAGACAGAGAATACAAATCTTTTGACCTGCTTGTGGCGACAACATAATTGCTTTAAAGTAATTTTCAAGCCATTTATAATTGACACAATTTAATTGCCGAGAGAGAGCAGCGATAAATCTTTTCTCATTGTAATAATTCATATGTGAAACATTTTTATTAATTATTATATTTTTCGAAAAAATAATTGGAATAAGCAACAAATTAGAAGCAAGCCAGCTTATTAGTTAAAAGGTTATCTCTGATTTTAATTATCTGTACACAGTTGATTTTGTAACAATAAGAAAACCATTAAAATTAATTGCTTACATCTATGATTTAGATACAGTTTTATGGACGGAATTCGCCATAAATTATCAATTTTCACTTGATGCTCTTTGAAACCATTCATACTTCCTCATAAAAAAAACTAGAGAAATAATACAAGGCGTCGTTTATCTTCAGAAAACAAATTAAGAAGGAATTACAATAGAAATGTTTTTTAAAAATAGTAATATGTTTATTATAGTATAGTATTTGTCTGATATAAAGCTCGTAGATAGGGAAGATGATGAGGTTTTAATTATTGTTTTAACTTTCCATTAGTGGTAACAAAATAAATATTTCAGTCTGTAACACAGAGTGCATTTCAGTGAAAAGGTGCTGTTAGTTAAATAATTAACTATAAATACAGGGTGTCCCACCGGGAACTGCGTCGATCGATATATAGAAAAGTAATGCTCCGAAAATCAAAAAAAAAAAATATCGCAACACGGCAATGTCCTTGGGGCGAACACAACTAAAATGTGTAGAACCCTCCAACAATTCCGGTTATACCGAAAGTCGACACCAACTTCGTTATTTTAAATGGGACACCCTATATATTATTGCATTTTCGTATTCTATGTGAAATTAGGAGTGTGTGTGACACAAGTAGATTCTTGGTACCTTGAAAGGCCATAGGTAACACTACGTTATGGTATATCAACAAATTAAAACATTTAATACTAAGTGTTTCATTTTTGCTGTTACATTTTGATAACTTCAAACAGTTATAACTTTGTTAACTTAAATGGAACACCCTATATTTTTTTACTCTGTCGTATGCAGATAGAAATTTTCTTTCAAGCCATATAATCATTGTTAGGGCTGCCGTTACTACTTCTAGAGATATTTGCAATTTTCTATTTTTTGGTCAGTTTTTCTCGTATCAGACCTGCTGTCAAATTGGCTATGACCAGAAATACCACAAAAACAATTGAAATAACATGACATTTGTCAAGTTAGTTATCAAATTATTGTTGTGTCTGAATAGTTTTTCCCGAATATTTAAATAAAAATGCCTGGGGATCGTTTAAATTATACTAATGAGGATTATTCTAATTTGTTTGTTATTTATGGAAAATGTGACAAAATAATTTCAAGAACATGTAGAGGATATGCTGCTATTTTCCATAAATAACAAACAAATTAAAATAATCCTCATAAGTATAATTTAAACGATCGTCAGGCACTGTTATTTAAATTTTTAGGAAAAATTATTACAGACATAACAATAATTTGACAACTAACTTGACTTGTTATTTTAATTGTTTTGGAGTGTTCTGGTTATGGCCAATTTGACAACAGGTCTGATACGAGAAAAAGTGTCCAAAAAATAGATAACTGCAAATATCTCTAAAAGTAGTAACGGCAACCCTAACAATGCTTATATGGCTTGAAAGGAAATTTCAGTCTGCATAGACAGAGTAGAAAAATACAGGGTGTTCCATTTAAGTTAACAAAGATATAGCTGTTTGAAGTTATCAAAATGTAACAGCAAAAATGAAACACCTAGTATTAAATATTTTAATTTGTTGGTATACCATAATTTAGTGTTACCTATGCCCTTTACAGGCGCTAAAAATCCGCTTGATATCACGCTCCTGAAAAGAGTTACTAGCATCTCCGCGGACCCTTGCATCTGTCAATTTTTTTCTCTAAAAATTAATATCTCAAAATCTATAACTCCTAGGTATAGGGAATATTTAATAAAGCGACCCTCAATTTTCACGTAGAATCCGAAAATACAATAATATATAGGGTATCCCATTTAAAATAACGAAGTTGGTGTCGACTTCCGGTATAATCGGAAGTGCTGGAGAATTCTAGATATTTTAGTTGTGTTCGCCCTAGGAACATTGCCACGTTGCCAAATTTTCTAATTTTTCGGAGCAGTACTTTCCTAGATATTGATCGACGCAGTTCCCTGTGGGACACCCTGTATAAAGCGTTTTTATTTATGTTTTGTTTTTATTATGGACTAATTAAAATATTATTTAATTGCTTCTGTTGGATTCGATTTCAAAAAATGGTAGTATTATTTTGAATATCCTCAACTAAATTGCAATGTCTATGGGCAATTTTAGGAATAGAAGTCAGCTGGAGCCAAATCTGGAGAGCAGAGTGGTTGCTCAAACACTATTTTGTTAAAAAATTGCGAAAAATCTTGGCACTGCAGACTGTGATTTAGACGCCTTTCTATAAAAGATTTAAAAGAACCAAACCATAATTAGCATTCTGTGTATGATTTAAGAAAAAACTGTTTTAGATGTGCTTGATCCATGGATAGTATTCGATGTTCTCCCACCATCAAACATATTATGGCATGATTTAAAAACATTCTTGTAACTCATTTACTAGCAGTTTTGCCCATAACGTTTACAAGCTTATATTAAACTTCAAGTCGTAATACATGAATCAAACAGTAACACTCTGAGATGACCACCATGTTAACAATAATACTCAATGTACCTATTATATTGACATATAGAAAAAGCGCTGCAGTCAGTTTGCAGACAAAAACTACCACATTTCTTCATTAATGCATACTCTACATATTACGACGAAGTATTCCAAAAATCGTAGAAGATTTATGAAGAAACGATGTTCAGGACAAAACAAGTTTATACTTTGACTGACGTAATAATACAGTTAAGAAAGATTATTGTGATATTGCAAGGGATATTTTAGTACTTAAGTATCTGTTTCTTTAAAATATTCTCAAATATTATTTGGTTATTTTCCTTATTTTTCCTTTTATTCCCCCGCATTCTTTTAGATTTTTTGCATACTCCCCCACTTCCCTCAGAAAAAGAAAGTAGGTACTCCCCCATGTTTTGTGTCATTGTAAAAGATTCAAGTAACTTTGCTATATTGCTAAAAGATATTGTTTACTTTCTCTACCACTTTGATCATCATCGAAGAAATGCTGTAGTTGAAATTAAATGTCTTGTATATTGGTCCGATTTATACTATCGTGGCGTAAGCTGAAAAAAGGCAATCGATAAGAACTCACCACAGCACAGTTGAGGCCAATCCCTGTAATATAGAGCGTCCAACTGGGTACTGTGGACTCATGGTATGGGTGCCTGAGGCTGGTGTCGTTGCAGAAGAAACCTCGTTGGTAGGCGCTGCCCCAAAGGAACAGAAAAAGGATGGGCCAGCCCACTGAAATGGTAAAAAAATTGTGTTTTTATAAAATTTGTAGGTTAAGGTATAATCGAGGGTATAATAGATATTAAGAACTCTGAATTTTTAAGATGTGTAGGGGTAACACAGAATGTCCTATAAAAAATGCTCGATTATCAAATTCAAGTCAAATACCCATACCTACCCAGTTAGTGTGTATTTTATTTGGAAAAGAGAGCAGTAATAGTAAAATTCAGATTTCCCATTACACAAAATCCCCTTCCTCCAGAGTACGTTAATACGAGGTCACAAAGGCAAGAAAAAAATACCATTTTTCTTATTTTTTTATAGATCAGTAGAAACTAATAGGTACTAGGAAATTTTGTAAATATTGGATTTTTGTTGCAAAATATAAAAAACAAATGGATACCTAGGTAAGGTATCCATTTGTACGGTAAATGTGATATTTTGAGTAGGTATATAAAAAAATTTAAAAATGTAGGCTTATACAAAAGTCGTGGGGAAACTCAATCGCCCTATTTCCCACTAAGAATGTGATATTTAAGGTGTCCTCATAAAAAAATAGCTATGTGTATTCACAGCAATAAAAATAATAATTAAATATGGTGTTTAGCTGTATTAGAAATCGATATTAATAACTTGTTCATTTTCAAATGTATCGATCTTAACTTCGCAGAAGAAAATAAATAGTAAGAACCAGATATTTATAGCGAATTTATTTTTGACAGTCCAAGTTCATGGATCGCGCTCGTGGAATTGATTGACCCCGATGATGACATAACCTCTCCCGGCACAAACAACTCACCGCAATTCAGCAGAATCACATCCAAGATGACTTTTTCCAGCCTCACCACTACGATGTCGTTGCTCATTGTGGTCATTCGGTGGTTATCAATGTCTTTGACGCCTCTGGGAATCACGCATTTGTGACCGACTTCACTTCCTCGCCACGCAAAAACCGAAAAACACCTGTCAAACTGCGGGAACGTAAACAATCAATCGAGTGTGCGGCGTAACTTCGCTCGATTATCTGTGCGATGCGCTCACAACCTACTCCGCTCCGAGCTGAAACTGACATGCGGTGGCCGCGTCGAGGATTTTAGATCGTGCGATTCGCACCTGAATCTCCCACCATAAAGGAGTTCTGTAGGAGTCGTCTGTTGCGGGGTTGCGCAGTCCATATTTTAATGGATCGATGAGGCCGACGGATGCGCGAAGGGCGCGATGCACCAGGGAGTTGTGGAAAAATATACAAATAAATATGAATGGGAATAAATATAATATCAGTTGTTATTGTTTACAAAAAAAAAATCCCCTAGTATTTTTACAGATATTTCATATAAAATCAATTCTTTTTTATAAACATTAAATGATAGTGTTTATTTTAATAAAGTTTGTCCACGTTCATAAAGTCCATAGTCTCAATGAACTACTGCCAGCGTTGTTCTCGCACTAAAAATTAATGTGCACAGTTTTACTCAAAACTAAATTTTATAAAATTGTACTTTATCACAACCTTTAAAAATAGTAGGGCATTATAAATTTTGCAAACGTAAATTAAAATCTGAAAAAATGGCTATCTGAAATTTTATTTTGTCTTCAAATATTATTTTTCTCTACTACTCTACTATGTAAGTACCTAGTCCGATAAGTAAAATAAATATAACTACATTGAACATTGAACAGAGAAACTGAATAGGCACTAGGACGAAAATGTAATGTAAGAGTTAGGAAGGATGAAAGGAGAGGCAGAGGGTAGCTATGTACTACCGTACTTTTTGAACTTTGAATTTAGTACAATAGTTCTTAAATCTAAAGATTTTCAGGATGCGGAGTGTTGAACAGAAATAAAAACACAGGGTATAACTTTTATTGAGTCATAATATATTTATATGGAAGCTACGTTTAACCTTAACGAAAAACATTTCAAAAGTTTGTTTTCACAAACGTCGTGAGAGTGATTTTTTTTACCTATTTTCGTAATTTTAATAAGTACTAGTTTTAGCTAATGCAAAATGCATATTCAAACGCATACCTAATAGGGAATTAGGGCATGTACCTATTGTTGTCGAATCTAGTATTTCTGATTCCTGTTCAGGTTTTTTCATAATATCAATCATACAGAAATATAACCACAAAGACACGCTAACATACCGTACCAGTACCAACAGTAAATACCGAAACTAAAATATTATAAGGTTATATATTTACACTACAAAAGATAAAGATACCTACCTCAATAAATACCACTTCAAATTTTGCTAAAGAAGTAAAACACTGAAAATATTTGAATGCTCGGTGCATCTAAAAACTTCGAAATAACATGCCGTATCATATAAAAGCAGGTAATTTGTTTTTACTAAATTATTTGTCATTACAATTTCGCCTTCTGCCACTCCGCTTCATATAGTTGGTTTAAAAATAAAACAATAGGCAACCCTCACTTTAAGCTACGCTCTGTATATATTTATTCCTATTCGAAAAACAAATTGTTCGGAGTTGTTTCAAATTACATTAGTCCATACAGTTGAATAAGTCGGCAATGGCTCTAAAACTATTTCTTAATGTAATTTTAAATGCAATTTAATTCTTATGATTTTCTCTTTAATTTACAATTTCGAAAGTAGAAAATACTTTTTTTTCTGTGAAACGATTAGTTCAGGAATTTTAGATTTATTGAATTGTGTGATGAAGATAACTGATTAGCTTATTTTAAATTTCCAAAATATAAAAACTCGAAAATATTTCGACAGAAATACTATTAGGATACACTTATCCAATTGCCAAAATACATACGTAGATGTTCGGAAATTCTTCAATTCTTAGCTATACAGTCTTCTAATGCTTAGCTTCTCCATCACTGGTTGACAGACTTGCATACCGATTAAGTGAATTTTTCCACACTGTTAATTATATCACTAGCCCAAATTTCATAAATCTACATCAAACATCTTCGAGATACGAGTAATGATCAATTATCAATTTTTGTTGGTTTTAGTCCCTTTGTTCAATAAAATTTTTTGATTTAAAGTGATGCAAAGAAAGACCTCCGGAAATTATGATATGGATTTAAAAAACATTTTTTAGAAATTATTTCCTAAATTTGATACTGGGTTTGTACAAAGAAAATAAATTATAACAATTTGACCATAAATTATATAAAATTCATTTCTTGTATTCCCTGAACATCTTGACAACCATTATGAAATGAAAGATACAATTTCCATGGATATTTTTATAGAAAAATTACAAGGAATAAAAAATAGAACCTCTAGTAGTGTTTAGTGTTTTTCAAAATTAATTCTATTCATTTATTGAAGATATTTAATTATTTAAGTGGTGTAACTTCTAGGGATTCTATTGGATTGGAGAATAAGAAATGTCAGTTTTTTTCAAATTTAAAATATTTTATTTTTAACTCTACAATTACCTATTATCAATAGATTAATCAGTGATTCTCCATTGTTATTTATGACCTCCTTCCAACGTTCAACAAATTTCTGGATGCCTCTTCTGTATAAATCGCTTAGGTTCTGATTCGAAAAACTCATCCAACCAAGCTCTTAACTCATTGTCGTTGTTAAAAGAAACACCGCGTAAGGAGTTTGACAAAGAGAGCGGAAGGGGTGAAAATCCAAAAGCACGAGATCGGAACAGTAAGAGGGGTGCGTCAGAACTTCCAAATTCAACTCCCGAATGACCGTTTTGGTCATATTGGCGATATGTGGTCACGCATTATCATGTTGCAAAAAAACGTCGAACCGACGATCAGGTCTATTCTATTGAATACCCGCGTGGAGTTGTCGTAGTTATTGGATATAGAGTTCTTGGGTTGATGGTTTGATTGTTTGGTAAGAGTTTGTAATAAAGAATCCCTACCCAATCACACCAGACGGCGATTTCCCTGGCATAACACCAGCTGAGGTGGTGGCAGCTACCTCCACCTAAATTAGAGAATTCGATTTAACACCGCTCAACGAAATATCCGAAAAAGTAGGTTAATCATTACAATAACGACAGAGTAAATCAGCGGCAATTGAGGAGCGTTAATTCTTACTGTTTTTGTTCAAAACATGTGAGACCCAAGTGCCGATTCTTTGAACTTTTCCCATCGAATGCTGGTGGTTTGCTATGTTTTGTGATCACATCCCATCTCCTGAACCAATTTGCTTATTGATTGGATTGGATTTTCGTGAAGGAATCGAATCAATTGCACTTGAATATTGAAACCACCTTCTTTAAAACGCGAAAATTCATCGCATCATCATCATATATGGCACAACTTTCCCGAGAAGCTTGAGCAGCTTTAGTGTTTTCCCAATCGCTATTAAAAACAAAAAGAAGCAAGTGGCGAAAATGATCAATTTTATCAACTTGACATTTCATTTCAAATGAATGAAAATTCACAAAAATGAAATCTAACGAATCAACAAAAAACAATCTGATAGAGCAATAAGTCCCCTTTCGATGACATGTGTTAGTTTAAAAATGCGTTTAATTTTCACGTGAATTTTTAAATTTGAAAAAAATTATTACCCTACCCATTAGTTTTAGTCTAAGTCAAAATAATGAAGCATATTTTGTTAGGAGTCGTAGTAAATAATACATACATATAATTGGTTCATTCATAGTAATCATAATCAAGTGAAGTGGCTACTTAGGGTTATGGAGAGGTCGGAATCCCCTGCCCCTTCAGTATAGTAACTAATTCTCATTTTTTCCTTGCCAAAAAAACAGGAAACACTGTTTCAAGCTTTGAGTCTTCACCACCATCACAGCAAGATTCTGTGTGCAGTTCTAAATAAACATATTGTTAAAAACCTAGACATAAAAACAATCTGTATTTTCGAATCTGAAAATACCTAACCATAGAACGCCATGAAATAGATAGATAGATAAATAGATTTAATTAAGAATCTTGATTTAAAGGTTATCCTATGGTACCTCTTTTATTATATTTTCTGTCTTTCTTTTATTATCCAATACCCTTCAGTGATAGCTTCTGAAACAGTGGCTTCCGGATTAGTTCTGTATACCCAAATAAACACCACGAAACGGGGTTAACGGCTTACTGTGCTGATAAGCGGCGAAAGAAAAAAATCGGTCCGAACCATATGGTGCAGCTCCAATCACTTAATTATAATTGCATTTAACATTAAATAGCTCTCTAATTTGTTAGCGCGGGAATCTAACAAAGAGTTATTTATGAAGGTGAATCACTTTATCAGTGATTTATTTATTATCAAAGTCGAAGAGTTCATTGATCAATGGGAGCGAGTGCGTACACAATGAAACATCTTCTAAGTCTCACTTTATAGATCAAAAGTTAATTGTTTTGGTTTAACTTCTTTTTTTTACATTGCCGTCCCCGTATGTACACAAAGACTTCCTGTATTGGTTAACACATTGCCGATATTACTCTCTTATCTAATAGTGTTTCATGTAAACATACGGAGCATAAAAAATGTTAGTCTGAACCCATACATTTTTTACTGATTTTTGATTCCGTCAATAAGATGACAATTAAAACTGGAGAGAAAGAATTATTGTAGCATTTCTGACTTCAGAATTAATTAACAAATCACTGGTATAGAATCAATAATACAAAGTATAGATAGAAATATATTTGTACGGCTTGCTTTTGTCAATTAGGTTAAATTTTGCAGTGTTAGTTTTGCAACATTATCGACCGCACCTTTATTTAATTGAAGTAAATACATAACTGTATATTTAGATACAATATCTAAATGTAGATATTGATTTGATCCTCTAAATAGGAAGTATTAATTTTGGTTCTAGTCATGATTTAAGGTAACTAACTGCAGAGTGCAGATGAATATAAGTATCATTAAATCGTAAGATTGAAAATTTCTTCTATTAATACGTTTTTTAAATGCGACTACTTTAATATGTTTGATATACAGAATAAAATGAAGTGAAATTGATAGAAATATATTTACTTTTGATTAAGGTGGCCACATACCTGGCCCAGAAATAGTCTTTCTGGCGTTTTCAGGTATTGAAATCTTGAAAAATAATAACGTGTAGAACAAAAGTAAGCCCAAAAATAAAATCCTTGATGTTCT